CCTCCTCCCATCTTCTCCCTCACAAGATCCTGTCCACAAATGCCTGGAGGTATTAGAGACGATTTTACCCTGCCCTACCACCATTTCTGAGGGACCCCTGCCCTCTTTGGACCTCCTCTGGTTCTCAGATGGTAGCTCCTTTATACACGAAGGGGTTAAAGTAGCGGGGATATGCTGTCCTTTCCCTCTCATCCACCATAGAGGCCAAACCTCTCCCACCCAATACCACCAACCAACAAGCCTTGATCGTTCTTTCAAACCTGTAAATCCATTTGGAGAATATTGCCATATTAACAACATTAAGATTTTTGATCCATGAACATGGAATATTTATCCATTCATTTAGATCTTCTGTAATTTTTCAATGATTTGTGGTTTTAGTAAGCAAATGTTTCATTTTGTTATATTTATTCTTAAATATTTTTGATGAAAATATAAATGGAATTTCTTAATTTAGTTTTTGGGATTTTAATTGCTGTGTACAAGAATACAGTAGAATTTTGGACAGTGGTCTAGTATCCTGCCATCATTACAAACTCATTTATTAGCTCTAGTATTTTTTCTTTATGTGTATACAATGGGATATCCTGTCACAGCTTCATTCAATAGACGTGGTGAGAACTGGCAAGCTCATCTTGTTCCTAATCTTAGAGTAGAATACCTGGTCTTTTTAAAATTTTTTAAATTGTAGATGGACACAATATCTTTATTTTATTTATTTATTTTTATGTGGTACTGAGGATCGAACCCAGTACCTCACACATTCAAGGCAAACACTCTACCACTGAGCCACAGCCACAGCCCCAGCCCTAGAGCATACGGTCTGTCACCCTGAAGTAAGATGTTATTTGAGGGTATTTCATAGATATCCTTTACCAGGCCAAGAAAGTTCCATTCCATTCCTAGTTTGTTGAATGCTTTTATTACCAAAGAATATAGATTTTGTCTAATGCTTTTTCTGTGTCTATCACAATACCTGTAACGATAATACAATATACCAGAGGAGAAGATCATTTTTGGCTATTGAACCAATTTTGTATTCCCAGCAAAATCCAACTGGTTTTTGTCATGATTCCTTTTAATTGTACATTCAAACCTGGATGAGTTTTAATATCTGAGAAACCTGATATGAAAACTAAGAAAACTAAGAATGAGTGAAAAGATACAAGAACGAAAACACACAGTGTTCTTATGTTTGGTATTTTACATATTCTAGGTTTCTGAAATTTGAATAAATGACCTTAAGAAGTTCCCATTTTTAGTATGTAAAATCAATAGATTCTGTTCTTATTGTTGTTAAAGAAAAGATCAGCAAAGACCAACTACAATGATGACCAAGTACAAGGGCAAGGCATCAGGTGGAGACGAGGAAGAGTGTGGCAGTTCCTAGGCTGAAGGTAAATAAAGGAAGAGAAATGGTGTATGAACATCTCTCACTACCATCAAGTGCTATGGTTTGAATGTCCAACCTCTACAAAACTCATGGTGAAACTTAMGTGCCATTGTGACAGTACTGGGACATGGGACCTTTAAGAGGTATGCAGCTCCTGGATGAATTAATGCTCTCTGGTAAGTAGGTGCATCCCTTTCTGCATTTGCTCTCTTTGCCTTTCTGCCATGTGATGCCACAGTAAGGCCACTGCCAGATTCTGGTACCTTGATATTGGATTTCCCAACCTTTATATCTATAAATTCATTATAATTTATCACATTTGCAAGACTTAGAGTGTTCATGAAATGTCATTACTGTTTTCCTTCCAGAATCTAGGACTTCTAACAGCCTACAAAACAGAAGCCACAGGAAAGGGAACAGGAACTTGGCAAGTCAGGCTAGCACAGCAGCCCATGCCTGTAATCCCAACTATCAGGGAGGCTGAGGCAAGAGGATCACAAGTTCAAGCTCAGCCTGGGCAATTTAGTGAGACCACATCTCAAAAAAAAATTTTTTTTAATAATCTTTTTTTTTTTAACCTTTATTTTATTTTTACGTGGTTCCGGGGATCGAACCCAGTGCCTCATGCATGCTAGGCAAGCACCATACCACTGAGCCACAACCTCAGCCCCACTCTCAAAATTTAAAAAGTGGGTGTGGGGCTGGGGATGTAGTCAATGGTAGAGCCTCCCTGGGTTCAATCCCCAGTACCACAAACCCAAATTTTAAAAAAGAGAGAATATTGTGAGTTGTTTTAGTCAGTTTTTTCCTGCTGTGACTGAAAGACTCAACCAGAATAACTGTAGAGGAAGAAAAGTTTATTTGGGGGCTCACAGTTTCAGAGGTCTCAATCCAGAGACAGCAGCTCCATTCCTTGAGGCTCAAGGTGAGTGTGAACAACATGGCAGAAGAGAGTGGCAGAGGGAAGCAGTTCACATGGTGATCAGGAAGCAGAGAGACTCCATTCACCAGATAGAAACACCCACCCCAAAGCCACCCTCAGTGCCTCAGTCCTCCATCCACACCCCACTTGCCTTCCATTACCACTTCATCAATCCCACCAGGTGATTAATTCATCGACTGAGTTAAGGCTCTCAAAACCGAACCATTTCTCCTCTAAACCCTCTCGCAGTGTCTAACACGTGAGCTTTTGGGAGACACCTCACATCCAAACCATAACATTGAGTCAAAAAGAATAAAAACTAAGATCTGTTAAGGCTTTTAGGAAAAAATGTTATTTGTACTCCAGAGAAGCAAATAAAACTCAAATTCTACATTCTGGTTGAAGAAACATAAAGTTTCAATTTGTTGTGTCATTTTTTAAGGGATTTAATTGTTAATGCATTACTCAAACAAAACCACAGAAAAGGAAGATTTGAAAGAAATTAAAACATTTAACATATTTGTAATATCAAAGTAAAAATAGTTCTGCACTTTCATTATTTAAGTAAGTTATTTATAAATATTTATTCTAATGAAGAAAACACCTCATTATTGAAGAATCTCTCTAAGATTGATAGTCCGCAGTCTCTTCGTTCCTCCTCAATGGCAACTTCATACTCTGTCTGATTAGAGAGACAGGAGAAAAGAAAAATGTAAGTTGTGCTTCGTTACAATATTTTCATATTTYAAATTCTGACTTACGGAATTGACTTGATACCCTCAGAAACAGACAGCAGTTCTACTGATCAAGTATCTCTAGCTATTCTTTAGGAGTCTAAGGGTCAGGAGGGAGTGAAACTGTCAATTATTATTTTGGGGGGCACTAGGGATATAATCCAGAGCCTTGCACATGCTAAGCATATGCTCTATCACTGCGCTGTACTCCCAGCTGTAAAACGTCATTTTTAAAAGGGGGTTAATAAAGTAGTAGAGCAACACGCTTCATAATACTCTCTAAGATCTATTATATTTCAACTCATTCATTGTAGCTAAATAAATATGGACTAGACAATAACATTTTAGAAATTTCTAAGAGACCCTTGAAAAGCTGTCTCCACAGCTCCCAGGGGAGTCAGAAATGGTGATACCAAAGCAAGAATCCCCTTCACCAGGAGTCAGGGGAGGGACCATAGAGCACATAATGCCATCCAGCTGTTGTTAGAGAAAAAGAAATCACTTCATCATCTAGCTTCTGAAAACTCTGGAGGACTTTCCAAGCTTGGTGTGTCCTTAAAAAATGGGAATAGAGCCGGGCATGGTGGCGCATTCCTATGATCCTAGTGGCTCAGGAGGCTGAGAYAGGAGGACTGCAAGTTCAAAGCCAGCCTCAGCAATGGCAAGGCACTAAGCAACTCAGTGATACCCTGTCTCTAAATACAATACAGAATAGGGCTGGGCTGTGGCTCCGGGGTCCAGTGCCCCTGAGTTCAATCAATCCCCAGTACCCTCCCCCCCAAAATGGGGATGGAACTAAATTGTATCCTGTGTGAGGCTTAACCCCTTACCAGAGAACAATCTAGCCTGAACATCCCAATAGCTCTCCGAGGCAGAGGCTGGTGGGAGGGACAAGCAGCTCAGGGCTGGCTCTATTTATGTGAGCAGGTGCTCTTCAAGTACAAAAAGCTCACCATGGCAGGAGTTCTTCAGCTAGTAWATTTTTAGTTCTATAGCTTCTTAATTTAGTTTTTGTTTAAATGATGTATCCAGTGATGAGAGAAGTATGTTAAAGTCACCCTTTATTATTGGATTTTGAGCTCTTTGATTCTTGAAGTTGAGAGGGGTTTGATGTATGTATATGCTCCATTGTTTGGGGCAAAAATATTTACAATTATTATATCTTCTCAATGTATAATTCCCGTAAGCAGTATGAAATGGCCTTCTTTGACCCTTCCAATCAACTATGACTTGAAGTCCACTTTATCTGAGGATAGATACTCCTACTTGTTTACAAGATCCATGTGAGTGAAATGTTTTTTTTCCCATTCTTTTATTTTCAGTCTGTGGATGTCTTTGCCTATGAAGGAGTCTCTTGCAGATTTTTTAATATTTTATTTTTTAGTTGAATATAATATCTTTATTTATTCATTTTTATGTGGTGCTGAGGATCGAATCCAGGGCCTCACACATGCTAGGTGAGTGCTCTACCACTGAGCTAGGACCCCAGCCCTAGTTGTGAATTCTTTTAACATTTATTTAACATGGAAGGTTTTTATTTAATCATCAATTCTGAAGTTTAATTTTGCTGGCTATAGTATTCTTGGCTGTTATCCATTTTCTTTCAGAGCTTGATATATATTATTCCACGACCTCCTAGCTTTGAGTGTCTGGATTGAGAAATCAGCTCAGATCTGGATTGGTTTCCCTCTAAATGTGACTTTTCATTTTCCTCTGGTAACCTTTAAAATTCTATCCTAATTCTGTATGTTAGGCATTTTCAATAATAATGTGCCTTGGTGTGGATCTGTTGTAATTCTGTGTATTTGGAGTCCTATAAACATCCGGCATTATCTGATTTTTTTTCATTCTTTAGGTTTGGGAAATTTTCTGATTTGATTTCATTGAAAAAGTTGTGCATTCCTTTGGTTTGTATCTATGAGCCTTCATCCCAATAAATCTTAAATTTGGTCTTTTCAGATTATCCCATATTTCTTGGAGGTTCTATTCACAGTTTCTTAACCTCTTATCTCCATGGTCAATATTATTTTCATGATTATATATTTTGTCTTCATTGCCTGAAACTGTCTTCAAGTGGTATAATCTGTTGGTGATGCTTTCTATTAAATTTTTAACTTAGTTTACTGATTCCTTCATTTTGAGGATTTCTACTTGATTTTTTTTTTCAGACTTTATTTTTTTCAGACTTTATTTAAGTGATCTTTCACTTCTTGTATTTTCTCTTGGATATCACTCCTTATATCATCCCTCACCTTACATTCTAAACTCCTTCTCTTGACATTTCTTCCACTGTGGTTGCAATGGATTCTTTTATTGAAGTCTCTTGGTATGTATGGAAAGATTCATTCCTTTGTTTTTTCATGTTGTTTGTATGTCTAACCATCTAACAACATGGATCTGAAGCAGTAGAATTCCTACCCTGTGGACTTACAGTGTACCTGAAGGTTTTCAGTATCTCAATGTTTAGGGGGTGASACGTAATAATAACAACCAATGCAAACAATATACATAACATTAAACCAAACATTCCTACTATGACATCTACAATGTTGTCACAATGAACAGAAATGACATTACTGCCATCAATAAAAACAGTAAGTTTGCAAAATGGTTTACAATTTCAAATGGTGAACAGGGAGAGAACAGAAGTAATATAGGATGTGATGATTATGAGGGAGAAGAAGAGAAAATAGAAGTAGAAAAACTGAAGGAAGCATGAAGGAGAGAACAACAGAGATTGGCTGTTAGCAGAAGAAAAGAGAGAATCATGGGAAACAAGTGAGAGGAAAAATATATAAAGTAAAAAAYTGAAAAATTAAAAATTGAAAAATAATATAAAACAAAACTGAAATATACTAATCAAACGTCTTAGTCCTCAAAAAACTGATCCATGAAAAATAACTGGTTTCAAAAATGCTAGAAATGAGAAAAGAAAAAAATATGAATATGTATAAATGTCCATGAACCATAAAGGTCACAATTAAGCAGAGAAAAGAAAAAAATATATATCAAAGTAAAGTCAAAAGAATTGTTTCGGTTGGAATCTAAAATATTCTCAGCTTCCCTTCTCAAAAGTTTTAGGTAGGGTGTCTGAAGTATGATGCTTGCCCCTTCCTGCACTCATACACGCAGCTCCTGTTAGGACACTGGAGTGAGAGGTAATCCAATATGCGGAACTCTTGGAGGCAGGGTTTAGGTTTAGGTAGGCTCCAGGCTCTTTGCGGAATTTCAATGGGTCTGGAGATTCTAAATCAGCACACCCTCAGGGCCCAGGAAYAGACTGTCCACACTATTAGACTGCACTCCAGGATCTACCCTGGGTTCCATTTGCGTGATTCCACCTTTGGACGTCAAGTTTCCTGGTCTCAGATTCAGTCTCCAAACTCAAGTCTCTCCTGCCCTTTCAAATTCCTGGCCAGGTGCATCTCTCCCAGCCAGTCCTGCAAGCAGTCAGATTAGAGAGGGAGGGATAGAGCTGGGTGGGTTTCCATAACCAGTAGTCCCCTGTGTAAACCTCTTTCCACGTTTGATTTTCTCCTGGTCACTTAGGCACACTCTATGTTGTGCAATGTGGGTTTGCCAGGCTATATTTTGGGCCAGCCTTGATTTGCTAGGACTTGGYTCCCTCAACTGCTGGTCCCAGCATCGCGACAGTAAAATGGTTCCTCCTTCTGTCCTCTGCACCCCACCAGGAGAGATGCGGTTTCTTTCCTGTGCAAGGCTATTGTGTAGCGTGCCCTTCAGTTTAGTCGGGCAGTGTCTTTGATCTCAAACTCTGTACCCAGACATGCCTAAGTCCTCCTAAAGATGTGGTTCCATTAGTTCCCTTATCTCTCCACTGTGCTCATGAAAGGACCACTCTGGCTGGCACCTCCAGCTACAGTAGTGGCTGTGGTGCTGGAGATTTCTTCCTTAATTTATTATATACAACCTCTTGAGTCCCCAGTCTGCTTTGAGTGTCAAGTATTAAACTCCAGTAAAGTCTCCCCCTGCTTTTTTTCGTTCACCCACCTTGCTGAGGAAGCTGCCTGTCTGCTTTCTTGGTTTCACACCACAGAGTAGTTAGGAAAGCAACCTGCTCTAATTCTGCCATCTTTAAATCTCTTTCAGCTAGTAGACTCTTGAACATTCTGCATCACGGAATCACCAGGGACTTACTTGCTCTGCAACCCACTTTTGGGCCTGGGGGAAACTCCACAGGAGGTACTGAGTAGGTGGCCCTCTAGGAAGTGGGGTCCCTTTGGGGAAAAGGTGATGTACGTGAGCTTGCAGCCCCTTCCTGCATTCGTACACGCAGCTCCTGTTAGGGCACACAGCACTTCACCAGGAATACTGCTGGTCAGACCTGCTTCATTCTCTGAAGTGAACAGCCTCCAGCTGATATTACAAGTCCCTGAGGCTTTGGGGGAAGGTTTAGGAAGAATGCCTTTCCTCCGATTTCGATCCTGGACATGAAGCTGGGAGTCCTAACAAGGTTCTGGGAGGGACTCTCCAGCAGACCACAGTCTCAACTCTCCAGTTCCACAAATCACTTTTGCTTTTTAATTCTTATTTTCTTCAACCACACACAAGATTCTCCTTCACCTACTTTAGGCAGCTGTTAAATCATTTATACCAATGTTTTGGGAGGGGGAACAGAGTTGAACTTTTCCTGACAATTGAACATTTTTCTCCCTTACTTCAGTTGACTCGATATAAGGGAGATTATCCTACATATCCGGGTGGGTCTCACCCAAACTGTTGAAAAGAGCTAAGAGCAGAGCTGAGGCTTCTCTGAAGAAATTCTGCCTAAGGACAGCAGCTGAGTCCTATTTCTGGAGAGTTACATCATGTCCTTCCTGATGGTCCATCCTATACATTTTGGACTTTCCTAGTCAGATCCACTGWCGTAAGCCAATGTCTTGTAATCAGTTTTTTCAAATCTACCTCCTAATGACTCTGGTTCTCT